TGATGACTCAATTCCTTACCAGGGGGCCAGGGTTTTACTTCAGAGTTTTCCTTCTCTCTTTTACTTCAGTAGTTTTGATTATTCGCTACCTGGAGACGCGCTGTCTACGATTTGCAGGATCTCCCAAGAGTAGCCCTTTTTAAACTACGCTAATATCTCTTTATAAAATCTTTGTTTTTTTAGTTTAACACCCTACATATATATTATAACATTTTCTGATAGATTTAAAAAATACGAATTCAATGATGACCCCACAATCAAATATTAGTTAATTAGTTTTTATTATTATTAATTACTAAAAGTTTTCAAATTAGACAGGAAGAGTTACTTTTGCCCCGAGACTTGAGAAACGTTCAAGTCCCAGGGTAGGTGCTCTTCAAGATATTTATCCCTCCTGGCTTTATATTTGGGATCCGCCCTCTTATCACAAAGCTTCTGGCCGTCATGTGTGGAAACATCTTCAGGGGTGAACCTAGGGATTCCCCTGATTTAGGGCTTATTTAGGAGGTTCAGGATTTAGGAGTTTAGCAGCCCTGTCCACAATTGCTGCCGGAAAATGCGCATGACGAAGGTATGTTGCTAGCCCATATTTTTCTACAAGTAGTTTGCTATGGTAGCACACACTTTGCTACTTTAAACGCTGCACATAGGAATATTTCAGCATTTTACACGGCCAATAGTGAATCTCACACAATTGGAAAAACCTTCTTAAATCTACTACTTGCGTTAGCGGGACAGTCCAGTGAACAATACGCAGCACCTCCCACACTTTTGCCGTGCACGCATGCGCTGACAGCGTCATTCCAAATCTAAATCGAACCTGTCATACTTGTTTGTTCTCGGAGATACATTAAAAATTATATGTAAATGGGGATGCGATAGATCGCAGCAATCACATTTCAAGCAAAAATTTGAAGAGGAAGCTGATTCAGATGCAACTATTTTTCACAACTGCATTGTATCTGTGCAATTAGGTTATGGCAAAGACTCTGAAAGAGTACTATGGGAACATCCAACACCTTCTGCTCCACGATTCTGCCGCCCCATTAGATTTCATTTCGTGAAAGAGAATACCGATGTCACAAATGAAGCGATGAAATACGTCCAAAATTCCATAAACTCTTTAATCGCAACTGAGGTTGATATTGATGAAAAGAAGTTTTTCGTCAAACATCTGTTCATAATGACTTAAAGTCAGCAACGAAGCTACTGCAGCATCTACAAGTCGTTGCTACATTTGTGGTGCGACTTCCAGAGACTTCAATCAACTGAATAACAAAAAACAAATTTCATTTAAAGCTATTGAATTTGGGCTGTCAATTTGACATGCAGGGTTAAGATTTTTCGAAAGCATTCTCCATCTGGCATACAAATTGTTCGTAAAAAACTGATGTGTTAGTGGATAAAAGCAAATTTCGGTAATACGAATGATATCAACAGGAGCAGGAGATTGTTGAGGATCCGAAATTAGCTTCAGAAGTTAAAGGCAATAGTTACGAGTTCGTTTATAGGTTGAAAATCATACTGGAAACCATTTCAAGCGGATTCTTGATAGATGTGGAAAAATATGACAAATATGCAATGGAGACTGCTCGTTTACATGTTGAATTGTACCCTTGGCATCCAATGTCACCAAGATATTAATTCACAGAGCAGTCATAATAAAAAATGAATTACTACCTATTGGTCAACTATCTGAGGAGGCAGCAACAAGCATTTTAGGATATATCGCCAAGAATTTTCAAGAAAATTTTCTAGAGTCCTGTAATAGAGGTACATTCTACCGACTTCTCTTGAGCTCAGATTCCTGGTTTGATTCCTGGTCGTTTCTTTCTGCAACCATCAATATGCTTCTGCCAGCACAGCCAAACCCAATGGTTCTTCCAACCGAAAATGACGAATCTCGAATATCTTTCATAAAATAAACAAAAACAAATTTGTATATCCTCTATATCGTTTAGAAATAATCGCCAGCAATCTAAGCAATAAAAATTTTTTGGCAACATAGAATGCTCAATACGTATAATTATATATAAAAGTTACTTGGCCATGGTAATTTCACATATACTGGACAAAGTTCCCTTTCAATCCCGGGAAATAGATCCAACAGGATCGATTTTCGAAAGGAAACTTAATCTCATACACCGTGTTCTCATCAAGATATGGGCAGCTGGATGTTGTATACACTGATCTATCCAAAGCCTTTGATCTGATTGACCATAGAATTCTCTTGTATAAATTGAACTCCTTCGGATTTGTTCCTTCAGCAATTCAACTTCTGACCTCTTATTTGCAACATAGAAAATATGGAAATTTTTCTAATGAGTTCACTCTTACCTCAGGGGTTCCACAGGGATCAAATTTGGGCCCTCTATTATTTGTTCTTTTCATAAATCACTTACTTCTAAAAATTGATTGCCGGATTTTGGGATATGCTGATGATATCAAGATCTTTACCGAAGACTTATCGGTGGCAGATGCAGATAAACTGCAGCACAACTTAAACACTTAACTTTAATTTAAACTTAACCTTAATATAGATAAATGTTGTGTACTTACTTATAGCCGATGCTCGTCACATGCATATATCCTTACAATATTGCTGGCAGCACTTTAAGTCGTGTTGAGGAGTACAGGGATTTGGGGGTCCTGTTTGATGCAAGTCTTAATTTTAAAACACATATCAATAATGTGTGTTCGGATGCCTTTAGGTCCCTAGGTTTTGTGATGCGTATGTCTAAATATTTCACAAGTGTCAGCTTATTAAAGACCTTGTATTGTGCTTACGTTCTGAGTAAGTTAGAATACGCTTGCCCGATTTGGAGTCCCTTATATGCGTGTGAATTTTTAAGCCTTGATCGAGTCCATCGTAGATTCTTAAAATTTCTTTCTTACAAATCTGATGAAATTTACCCTGAGCGAGGTATACCACAAAATGATTTGCTTGCACCACACAATATGGTTTCCTTGATGGACAGAAGAAACGTGTTTTGTGAAAGGTTTCTTCGAAGGCTTATCGAATATAACATCGATTGCCCTTTCATTCTTGAGCGACTAGGGTTTGTTGTTCCAAGGAGTAACTCAAGATATAGCTGCGTATTCGTCATTCCTTATGCTAGGACAAACATTATGAGACAGGCGCCAACATACACTCTCTGTAAAATGGGCAACAGGATTCCAGACAATCAGTGATCACCTGCATGTAAATTCACTTATACATGTAAATTCACTTACTTAGTTTTTATTTTTATTTTCTTTATAATTCGGTCAATTGTTATTTTCTTGAATCTTTTGTAATTTTTGTTTTTTTTTTCACATACAGATACATATTATTGTATTATTACATTATGTAATATATATTGTTATCCTTTTTTGGGCTATACCTGTTGGGTAATAAAGGAATATTATTATTATTAAGACATTGTAATCATTATAACAGCCCGTTCGAAGGCTACTTAAGATAATCATGCTATTCAGTTTCTTATCATAGATATTATTCTTCTGTTGTTGTAACTTTAGAAGCTCCACAACTGCAAACAATTCATCAGCATTTCGTACTAACTGGTTGCTTTTTAGCTCTTCCTATTACACAATAATTCGAATCACATTCTATGTGACTTCAGTATTTATGTTCAATTGCATAGGGATTATGAACATCATTTCAAAAGATAACGTGTTTAATTTTAGGATCCAAGTTATTTAACAATTATGCTTAAACAAACAATAACCATTTTTCAAATTTCAAATTGTGTAAGGTTTAATTGGTTTATTTATTTTATAAAATGAAATACTCGTTTGTAAAGTTAGTAAATCGAAAACCTGAACGGTACGTTGGATCTTCATTGGCCTTGACTTTCTCAAAAGATTTACAAGTTACCGCATCTTGTTGATGAGTTTTCAGTTTAGTTCAGTCTGAATCGTATGTCTTTCTGTAAGATTATAGAAGAGAATTTCATATGTAAAGAATCACACTTCTGACAAGCAGACACTGCTTTTGGTTTTTTAAATAACAAATTCAAAGTACAAAATATAGATACATAATTAGTTCGTCCTATTGGCTGATCAACAGTGTCTCTGTAAAGATGTTTGCAAATTCTTTAAAATTAACTTTCTTGTTTCTCTTGAGTATTCATGTTTTGGTGATTTTTTACCTCTTCTTTCAGTTTCTCCTAAACCGGGTTAATATACAAATTAACTTTTGTAGTGTTCTTATCCTTTACATCTACCATCTAATCGTCTAATCTCCAATCATCTTTAAATAGCTTTTCTGCTTGACTACTGTTAATCTTTTCGTTACATTTATTTCTACTGTTCAAAAATGAACTTAAAAATAAACTTTACAGTTTTCAGACATTTTCAGTGATGATCAGTTACTATTTACTCTAACAAAAACATGCGTGACGAACATGGTAATTAAAAAGACCATAACACCATAACATATCTAAAGCGATACTCGTAGATAAAATATACATAGAAGGAAACTCTACATGTAGTTCCTTAAATTGTTACGTGATATACTTAAATTACTACTTGTTTAATGATATGACGTCATATTGACATGCGATCAAGTGGACATATATGTCCAAAGACGTAAATGAGGATTCCCCAGGTTGTTTACTCAGCGTGCGAAAATAAAAACATTCTTATTTGTGACTCAGAAGTAGTCCCATTATTCGTATGTCGTAAATATATACAAAAAAAATTGTTGTATCGAATTCTCTTTCGTTGAAGTGAGAGAATTCTAGAATAAATGCAATTTAATCAGACGGGATTTATGTACATTTTTATTAGTTTATTCAAATTTAAAAATTAATATTAATCAATTAAACAGAATTGTAAAATAACACGCATAAATTTTGCAAGTTTATATAAGAAAAACATAACTCACTAAAAGCACATAAGAAAAGAAAGTAATAGAATATTGCTAATATTAATAAAGAATAAATCATATTTACTTCTAACCGATTTTCATTATTTTCCACATTTATTTGTTACCATAGGTATGCAAAGAACTGACGGGGCTTTTGGCGCTATAATAGTTCGAACGCCAGACGATATAAATCCCCACAAAGATCTTTACGATTATGACGAACATTCCATTTTGATAACCGATTGGATGGAACACACTGGTTTACACAAGTTTTTGTCTCATTACCATAGTATTGGGGATAATAAACCAACCTCTATCCTAGTGAATGGCAAGGGCAAGTATTTAAGATTCAGTCAAAAAGATGGTACAGAAGTTTTTACACCAATTGAACGATTCGTTGTTAAAAAGGTAATTTGATAATTAAAGATTAGTTTTAATTTAGTTATTGCTTTTATTCTATTTTTTAGGGTTTCAAATATCGTTTCCGATTAATTAACGTTTCTTTTATGAATTGTCCAATTGAAATGTCAATCGATGGACATAGTTTTAGGGTTATTAGTACAGATGGACACGATGTGGAAGCCATAGAAGGTACAGTTGAGAAGTTTAGAAATTAACTTACGTTAATAATTCCTTTTAAATAATTTTAGCCGAGAGCTTAGTTAGCTATGCAGGTGAGCGTTTTGATTTTATATTAAACGCTAATCAAACTGAAGGATTATATTGGATAAAATTTCGTGGATTAATGGATTGCGATGAAAGATTTACTAGTGCTTATCAAGTAGCTGTATTACAATATTCAAATTCATCAAGTGTTGATTTTCCCGAAGGAGATGTTGATTATCAAAAGACATTAAGAAAAGGATTGGTAAGTTCATCTACATGCATGTTAGAACCTCATTTTTTTGTTGTACGCGGAACCGGTTTCGTACGTTAATAACATCTTCAGTCGAATCTACATCATATATGTATAACAAAACTTTAATAAACTTGAAATAAAACTTTGAAATTGTCTACATACAGTACTTGTCAAAATTAATATACTATTCCGGTACGCGATCGTGCAAGGGCATACCGGGTGGTCGAGGGGATCCTTATCTTATACCCTTTTGGACCATAAAGAGCCCAGAGGTAGAGTTTTCTAATCGAATAATAAAGTCGTTTACTTTGTACAGGTCTTCAATCAAGTTTACTAAATGCCTAGGAACTCCCATTTCTATCTTATGGAGTCGAACGCCTTTTTGTAATCGATGAAGCATATTAACATTAGACAGTTAAATTCTTAGGATTCTTCTATCAGTTGTTGAATATTGAAGAGCTTGATTGTTCTTCAACAGGACTTTGCCAGCATGAGAGTATACGTTATCGATCTTGCTGTTGTTAACATTACTCATTGCTTGTTTTTCCTTATAATGTCGGTTACCTTTTGTATCTGCACCATTATTGTGTTTCCTTCTGATGACTTTTCCATCACCGTTCGCTTTTGACCGGTGTTTTCTCCTCTACTTTGCATACCCAATTTACCCTTCAGTTAATCGTATTCTGCTCATAATGTTTCGTTATGCATCACCAGTTTGTCGTATCTGTTGTATGCTAGATATCCATTCTTCCTGGCCTCTTCATCAACACTTTCCTCTGATTTTTTTCCGGAATTATTTTCGCTATCCTCAATCCTCTTTATTATTATGTTCTTATTCCGTATCTCTCTCATATGTTTCATTTCTGTGGTCCATCTTCTCATTTATCGCCTTCGTCATCATCATGCATGGCTGTATAGCTCGTTTGAACCTAAGTCTTCCTTAACTGTTCGTACCAAACCAGTGTCCGTCATCTCCAACTCCTGATCTTAAGCTTTCTTAGGTTCTCATGTACATCGTCCACAAATCGTCTCCCAACCGATCTTCTACCCACTGATCCACTGCGATCAAAGATAATTCTTATGGTACTTTCTGTGTCCAGTCTGGCTACATGGCCAATCCTTTACATCATCTCTGGTTCGCAATATAGAAGATACAATTCGAAGTTGTAATCACACACCGTTGTCGCTTTCCTCTCGAATCTTCTTAGTGTCTCTTGGACTTTCTGCTGTAAGGTCCATGCTTTCGACTCATATATTGATTTTTCTTGGTAGCTTAGATGTGAAGTTGTTTTTAAGCACATGGAAACATTTCTTGTCTTGAATTATCCTCTTTCTTTTCTCGCTGACCGAATTTTTGTTATTCATCAGAAATCACGAATATGCGGATCTGCTAATCGTCTCTGTTTTGTCATCCCCAACTTCCAAATGTTCTGGAATGTTTCTGGTACCGCCAGTCTTTGCCACCACTATAGTTAGTCTTTGTAAAATTTATCTTTAAGCCCATCTTCTCCACCTCCATTTGCAACCTTGTAAAGGCCTAAGAATCTTTAGATCAGATTTATTATACAGTAGATGGAGTCATAGCTCTGGGCGACTTTAACATTAATTTTATGGTACGTGGGCCGTTGGCAATTCTGTTCTAGCCATATTTGAAGCTTTTAACTTGAGGCAGGTATCATATATTCTGAGGCATTCATTAATATAATTAATAAACTCATTAATAAAAGCAATATTGATATAGATGCTTTTAATAAAGATCTTGATCTAATGAATTAGGAAGCTGTTTTTGATTTTAATAATATCGATGATAAAGTTAGCTATTTCAATGAGATTCTGTTGTCTCTATTCGATTTCCATGCTTCAGTTTTAACGAAAACCTTAAAGAAAGAAGGTCAATTACCTTGGATCACGTGGAATATCAGACTGATGATCAAATTAAGAAACAATGCAACGTAATTATGTTACGGGTGCAATTCGTCCGGAGAAAAAAACATTTTTTGAACAAAATTTGATTGTCAATTATTCTAAAAATATGTGGAACAATCTTAAAAAATTTAATATTTTAAAACCATCTGCTTCTATTCCATCGCATTTGGCTGATCCTAATAATATTAACACCTTTTTCAGCAATACTGTAAAAAGTACTCTGGTTGAGCCTGATATTAATCTTCAATGTTATTATTACAATAATAGAATGCACCCAGATAATCCAACAATGACTTTTCATAAGGTATCTTCAGATCATATTCTTAAAATACTTTTGAATATGAAATCCACTAGTGTAGGATCTGATGGGATTGGTTTGGACATGATACGCTTATGTTGCCCACGTATTCTTGATGTGCTTAAGCACATGCTTAATTTCTGTCTTACTGAATCAGTGTTTCCAATGTCGTGGAGGCTTGGACTTATAACTCTGATTCCTAAAACGAATCCGGTCACTACATATAAGGATTTAAGACCCATAGCAATACTGCCGGTACTATCAAAACTATTGGAAAGACTCATAGTTGATCAATTGCAGTTTTATTTAGACACCCATTGTATTTTACCGTTTAAACAATCTGGCTTTAGGAAACATTTTGGTTGTGCTAGTGCGTTGCTGGACCTGACCGACGATATTTTTGGTGCGTTGGATGTAGATAGCTCAACATTGTTAATTTTGCTTAAGGCTTTTGATATACTTAATCATAGCCTATTGCTTAGTATTCTAAAATTGGATGATAAAGCGATTAGGTTGTTCAATAGTTATCTTTCGGATAGACTGCAATTTATAAGATTAAATTCGGTACAGTCAGATTTTGTCATTGTTCCATCGGGGGTACCGCATTCTTGGCCCAGTTTTATACACTTATATACTTTACTTTTATTTCTCGAAAGCGCAATCTTGTGCAGATTCCCATTTCCACTCAGCATTCTTCCTGGTAAGCTCAGTGAGAGGTTTCACTATTCCGGCACAACCAGGGATGAACTTACGAAACCACGAAACTGTTTGAAGGAATGTTAGGAGTTCACGAACATTTTTCTGTTTTGGTATTTTAATAATAGCGGCAATCTTGTCCATGTTTGGTTTTATACGTTCAGGCGTAATAATGTGTCCCAAGTATTTAACGTCTGGAGCCATGAAAGTACATTTTTCTCGATTTACACGTAACTTGAACATCTTCAGCTTTTCAAATACCCTTCTCAAGTCGTTTAGATGTTTTTTCAAAGGTGGGTGATAAAATCATCAATGTAGACAAGGATTGTAACATCCGGTAATGTTGTCTTGAAACGGTCCGTCATCCTTTGAAAGGTTGAAGGTGCATTTCTTAATCCAAAAGGCATACGATCTTCAGGTCGGACAGCTACTTGCCAATATCCGGATCGTAGATCTAGCGTATTCATAAAGGCAAATTTGTTTTGCTTCATGTAAAAGGTCGTCCAATCGTGGGAGGGGATACCGATCCGGTATGGTTATAGCATTCAGCTTCCGGTAGTCGACACATACACGATATTGATCAGATTTGTTTGCCTTTGGCATCAATACAACTGGTGAAGCATATTCGGAATCCGACTCTTCAATGATGTCATCCTCAATCATCTGCTGGATTGCCTTTTCTAAGAATTTTCTCTTTGGTTCTGCTAATCGGTACGGAGGTACGGCTATGGGAATATCGTTGGTAAGCCTTATGCAATGCTCTGCATACGGAGTTGGTTCTGAACTTGGCGAGAACATTTCGACATTTTCATGTAGTAATTGGTTCAATTGCGATTTTTGATCAGAATCGAGAGTAGAACATCCATCAACATTCAAGCTCACATCAATCGTATCTTCAACTTGAGGGGTGATTACTTCCACACATTCTTTCTTGTAGAAGTCATGTTTTCTTTCAGGTTTATGTGTAAAGTACCATTGCCGTTGGGAGATATCAATGACAATGTTTGCGGTGTCAATAAAATCAGCACTTAGTAACATGTTACTGTTATTGTGTTCAAAAATAGCGAGCAATTCCAATGAAAATGAATGACCTTCTATAACAATCGCGGTATTAAAAATCTTTGCTTGAACAGACTGTTCTTGACCATTGGCGAATTTCATTTTCAGGAATTCGGTACGAAACGGTAATTGATCTTTGAGTAGTAACTGGTACAGTTGTGTACCTGCTAAGCTTCTTTTGGCTCCTGTATCAAAACATGCGAGTCCATCGTGTCCAGCGATATTCACCTTAACCATAGGTCTGACATCCTTGTCTGGAACGTCAGTTTCGATCGTGTTTGCCAGCTGTTTTAATATATTCTCGAAATTAAAACATAGTTCATTCCATCTATACTGACTTCTATAAATATGCAATACCTAGATTTTGTTGATTGATTTTATTGAAATTTTCGTCAACGATGTCTTTCATTACAATAAACAAACGATTAAAATTTGCATAAAATCTAGCTAGTAGTTTGGTTCTTTTTTTTTCCTTTGCACTTACAATTAGTAATAATAAATTTGAAGAAATGAACAAATCAGTGTATAATTAACTATCAATTTTGAAAAATTATTGTCCACAATTTCGTTCTGAACTTGGGAGCCATGCCAAGAGTACGCTAACATCAACCCAATTTACTGATTTTGAACGTGACCGTATTATTGGCATGAGAGAGGCCGGACTTTCGCTAAGAGATATTGCTCGTCGTGTAAACCCAAATGTTACAACGGTATTGAGATGTTGGTCCAAATGGCCCGAAGAAGGGGTGCAACAACGTCGCCCTGTATCTGGACGTCCCCACAGGACTACAGATCGCGAAGAACGTCGCTTAAGACTTTTGACCACAAGAGACAGATTTTCAACAACTCGATCGATTGCAAATGATTGGATGAGAGGTGCAGGACCCAGAATGTCAATATCATCTGTTTATCGCCGGATAAGGTCTTATGGGCTGCGTTCATATCGTCCATTTTTATGTCTTCTTCTTACACCACTTCACTGTCTACGCAGGCTTGAATGGAGCAACGAAAGAGCGAATTGGGCGCAAGAATGGCATCAAATTGTGTTTAATGGCGAGTCCCGATTTTGCTTCTGAGCCCACGATGGTCGTAGGAGCCACCAACCTGGAAGACCAGGTCACCATTGATTTTTTGGGAGTTTTTTTGAAGAAGCTAAAATTGCCGTCCTTCCATGGCCTACTCGGTCGCCTGATTTGTCGCCCATTGAGCATGTATGGGATGAGGTCGATAGGCGACTGGGTAATTTACCACACCCTCCAGATAACTTACAAGATCTCCGGCTACGGATTCAAGAAGCTTAGGTTGATATACCACAGGCAGCTATAGATCACTTGATTGATAGCATGCCACGCCGTCTAAATGAGTGCATTATAAATCGTGGCGGAGCAACTCATTAATGAAAAAAAACTTTTCAATTTTTGTTCTTTTGTTTTCAAATTTTAATCGTTTGTTTTTTCTAATGAAAGACATCACTGACAAAAATTGCAATAAAATCGTTCAATAAATTCTAAGTGTTGCAATTTTTATGGAAGTCAGTATATGTTGATGCCACTCAGTTGTATTACAAAATTAAACCAAGCGATCTTCCTGCGATATGCAATACTATCACTGAAGAACTAAAGACATTGTGAACAGAGATTACTAAACATGGTCTAAGGAACAATCCTGTCAAAACGCAAGACATTATATTTACCAAGACAGGTAAGTTGTTTGTCGATAAATATCATGTAAATGTTTACATACTAGATCAGCCAGTGGGCTTTTCAGATACGGTCAAGAGTGTAGCGGTTATCTTTTACAATCAATTGAACTTTAGTAATCAGGACAAAATTTTAAAACCTCTACTCGAATAGAAAGATTTTATCTGTTAGGTCAAACGTTTACTATGTGATAGTCTAGTTTTATCTACTTTTAATCATTGCAGTATTGTCTTTAGTTTATCTTTTGAACCTAAGCGAAAGGTGTAGGTCGTTCAGAACTCTTGTTTACGTTTCGTTTATGGTGTAAGGTGTGGAGAACACTTCTCACCATTCTTATTGTCAAGTGGTTGGCTAAGCATGACACAGAGATTTCTTACATGCCTAATTTATAAAATTGTTCACACTTTAAACCTCCTCATCTTTTGCATAAAGTAACGTTTCGCATTTACAATGACAATACAAATCCACCGATCTGCTAAGTTTTGTCATTCTTATTCATATCAAGTTGCGCGTCTTTGGAATTCGATGCCCGTGTCTGCCCGTGCTGGCTCGATTTCGTTTAGATCCCTTATACCTCGTAACTCTCTGCATGTATGTTCAGAGAGTAAGTATCATTCCGTTGCCGAACGGATACTGTTTATTTAAGATTTATTCATTTATGGTTTGGAAGAATATATTACTTAGTTGTTTTGCTATTCAGCATTAATAACATTGGATTGTATTACAATCATTGCACTCTTTTTTGTCATTGGTGCAAGTAAAACCACTGGTATATTGAGCCGTATTTCTTTACAAATTTCTTAATTTAATTTATTTTTCTTCTTTTTGAGTTGTTTTAGATATTATTTTCTCTTTTTTTCTGCTGTATTGTAATGGCTCAATAAACCGTTTATTTATTTAATTTCGTAACATAAAAAAGTTTCTTTTTGTTGCTCGATTAAGTGCTTTTTATAATCAACATCATTTAAATTATTTACCTGACTTTAATATCGATTTTTAATTTAACTTTAGTCCCATTAATATTTCATGTTCCTTGTTAATAGTTCATGTTCGTGCCGTTCTATTGATTCAATAATGTCTCTCTCTCTCTCTCTCTCTATTCAATATTGTCTTATTTCAGTTGGCGGACAATTTTTCTTGAAATATCAGTTTTATATCAGTTATATCAGTCATCCTTTTGTTTGCTTTTCACACATCAGTATATTTCAGTATTTGGTCCGTCTAGGTTTGTTTCCTTTCTTTATGGGTTTCTAGCGAGGATGGAACTATTTCGAATAACAGATCTTGGTAAAAATCTTGGAACTAGGAGTATCTTGGGAAAAAGATTAGAAATCCAAAAAAGTCTCAGCTATTGATTGAAAACGACAAAAAAATTTGGTTCTTAACTTGTGCAGTTTCTTACTTTACACTAATTTTCTTGCGAGCGAGTCATCTGATATATTAATCTCATTCATCATCTCAATCATTAAATCACCTTTTATTAAGTATGTAGATTTTCGACTGAACATGGATTAAGAACCGAAATCGGCAGAAATTAATAAAACTATCCTGAATACTGATAGATTTCTATTTTTTTTGTAGCAATTGAATTCATTAAACAAAGGCTTAGAAACGGCGGACATAATCAGCATTCCTCAATTAAAATCATTAAACGAACCAGATTTATCGTTAAAACCGATTCCGGATTTCCAATACTTCGTTTCCTACGATTTTTATAAAATAGACAACCCACATTTTCATAAAAATGGACTTTACGGTTTCAATGAAGTGACTAACAATTTGAATAAAGTGTTAACGCCACAATTAAACCATATTACTATGAAAATGCCATCGACTCCTCTTTTACAAAACAGACACAGGTTTAAACCTGATATGTTTTGTAACGAGACGACCGTAAAGAAATGCGATAAGGATTTTTGTGAATGTACACATGTGATAAAGGTAAACTTTTAATGGTAAATGCTTATGACACTTATGAAATTAATTTTTTGTTTCCATTTTAGATTCCATTAGGAAACGTTGTAGAACTAATTTTAATTGACAAAGGTTTCGCGTATGACGCAAACCATCCGTTCCATCTCCACGGAACCTCTTTTCGCGTGGTAGGAATGGAACGAATCGGACAAAATGTCACCGTCCAGGAAATAATGGACATGGATAAGCAAAATTTGTTAAAAAGAAACTTAAAAGATCCACCGATTAAAGATACAGTTACAACTCCGGATGGAGGCTACACGATTTTACGTTTTATAGCTGACAATCCCGGATTTTGGCTTTTCCATTGTCACATTGAATTCCATTCGGAAGTTGGAATGTCCATGGTTTTCCAATTTGGCGAGATACATGAAATGCCACCTGTTCCAATTGATTTCCCAAATTGTGGAAATTATCTTAATAGTCCGATCAGTCAGTTTAATGAACCACAGGAATTAGCTTCCTTTAATCAATCTGAAAGTGGAACTGATCATCCATGGTGGTATTCAGTATTTAGTGGTAACGAAAAAAGTGTTAAAGTTAACGTTTTTGTAACGTTTTCGGTGATCTTTTTAAAGTATTTATGTGTTTAAATTTAGGATTGTATGTAATGATACGTATAAAGAAGTCAAATGTATCTTTATTTATTCTGACTGTTATATTTTATATTATTCCTGAATAAATGTAAATAATGCATCAAATAGAACTTTAACAATTAAAATCTTTTAGATTCTACCAAATTCTCCATCATTTATTTTATACTTTCAAACTCAAAGAAGGAAAGAAGGAAACAGAATAAAATAATAATAAAATAGTGGTTATTTATATTAACAGGAAAACGGATTTTTTTAAGCGGTCATATAGATGCTTTCTTCCGAAGTTTCTAAGCTAGAAACTTCATAAGTATTAGACAATTTCTTAGTCGTGAAGTAGGTTTCGCTTCGGTATGATCCCTTTTCTGCATGTTCTACTCAAAACATGCGTTCTGATCAAAATTAGAAAAATCATTCATTTATGCAAATATCATACAATCGGAGAGCTCTGATGGAAAACGATCCATTAGTCGACAAAAAGTAGACAGGGCATTTTTGAGACCAAAAGACATACATGTGAAACGATGTGACCCAAAAGGAATAACAAAATATGTTTTACCGCTGTCCTCTTCGACATTGGAACCTGCCAAAATCCTGATTGAAGATCAATTGTTGTCACATATGCTGAACTTTTACTACTATTCACTAACTGTTTAATTAATGGCATAGGATAACTATAGATAATTATGGAATTCAACTTACGATAATCAACGCATATCCGCAACCTACCATCTTTCTTAGGTATCAGAACAGCAGGACTTGCTCATGGTGATTCCATTATCTGATAATCCATCTTTTCTATTTCCCCCGTGAGGTAATTTCTTTTATTAAATCTTAGAACATACGAATGTTTTGAAATATCAAGGTACGGTAAATTGCAAACTCGAATGTTTTCTCATTTGGGGAAAGATGTTTTCGATTTGTGTCGGCAAACTCCCCAAGTACTTCTCGTTGTGCTTCGGTTAATAGCTATTGCTCACACTCATTTGGGCATAAATTAACCAAATTTCGTTCATCCGGTGTAGTTTCGGTATGGTTGGTGAACGAGTTTTTTCCACAAAGAAAAACTCTGTGACCGGATCATCATGGAACTACCAACATTTCTTAGCATTTAGGAGAATACCAGCTCTCTCCAAAAAGACAATACCTAATAATGTACATACAATTATCGGCTAGTATAGGTGCCCGGCCGATACCATTGCGACACGTACAATGGATCTGTTACATAGTGCCTGTGAAGTCTCTATGCCCTGAAAAATAAGGCTTCTCGGCCAAAAACAGCGACATATTGGTGGACCCCTGAGATTGCTGAGCTCAAGGAAGTCGGAGCAACGTTAACCAGTTAAGGTTTGTCATGAAATAGATCTTAAACGAAAATGTATTTTAAGATATTTTTCAATCAGGGTGTTGCAGGGCCATTTGGCTTTATAAATTAATACCAGGGAAACAAAAATCTCTTTTATGTAAAATCATATAAACAGATTAGGAAAGGTGTGCAAAAAGTTCATTTTGCCCCACATGCGGGGCAAAATGAATCTTCATACGGGGCAAAAAAACCAAAACAAATTTTTGTAATCATTTACTCATTTCAATAAAACAAATCTTTAAAAAACGTAAAATCATTTATCAACTGCTTATAAAAACTGAATTTATCCATATCTTAACTTTTGTGGGCGCAGTTTTCTTTTAATGTCAGCTCTTGTTATGGTGGAAACATCATTGACATCCGGATATACGAATATGTTCCAGTTTCCTCGATACTGCCTCATAAATTTACCTTTGTAACTATTTTTTAAAACACCTATAATTTGAGCAACAAATTGTTTGTTGTGTTTTTCATTAGTTACCTCAACTAGAACATAATCCTCTACATCTAGGTTTTTAGTTGGTTCGGCATGAAGTTTCTTAACTTTTCAATTTTCTCAGTTTCCACGTCTTCCTCATCAGAAAATATTTTTGAGTCAGTAGAATCGTCGCACAACTGAGTTTCCTGAATATTTTGTTCTTCATCAGAAGATTCCTGAACTGCAACTTTTCTTTTTACAGCAGTTTTCTTTTCTTTTTTCACTACTTTAGCTTTATGTTGTTGTTTTTCTATTTTCAAGTTATTAAGAAATGAAGATGTTATCACTGCTGTAGATTCTTTTTTTCTATATTTTCTTTTAACAGTTGTAGGAGCTATCTTGGGAATAGGAATGATATCTCTAGGGGAAATAGCATTTTGGACTTCATTAACACCGTCTTGTTGATTCCTTGAACTGGAACCTGCCTCAGAGGTGGATATTATGTGTCTTGGTGGAGTAGCTTGTGAACTGACTGAATTTTTTCAGTTGTTTGTTTTTTACATGGATTATCTCCATAAAATTTGCTTGTCGATGTCAGAGCTGGCTGCATATTTTCTTTTCTTATAGTATCTTTAGAGGCTTCTACAGCAGAATATTTCTTACTTTCTGGTGAATCAAAGCCGTCGTTAGCTGAAGCTTCGGGAATATTTTCTACAGCTAGATTGGCATCAATTTCCTGTAAAATAGGACGGTCAGTAACTTCTGCAGCTGCAAACGCCATATCTGGAAAAATCTGATTATCATATGGATAAATTCAGTGCAGTTTCAATTGTTGCAGCTCTCATGTATGCTTGACCAAATATCTCGCTAACCTCATGTATTGTAATAACTTTTCCAGGATTATTCCTTAGCCAATTTTGGACACCTTGGCTATAATATGAACTTAATGGAAACATAAATGCAAAATCAAGAGGTTGTAAACGATTTCAAGTATGAGGGGGAATTACTAAAATGTGAACGTTGTTTTCTCTTGTCATCAAAATTAAATCTAAATTTTTTACATGGGTTGAATGGCCATCGCAAATTAATAAAACTGGATCATCTTCTCGTGGCTTAGCATACTTTAAAAAATGTGAAAACCATGTTGGTGCAAAGATATCACTTTGCATCCAACCTGACGGATGAGGCACTACTACACTTTCAGGTGGCAGACCTCTTGAAAAATTAGAATTGTTTTTTACACGCGGAAAAACAAGAAGAGGTGGTATGTATTGCCTTGTGGCACTAAAACAAATCTCAGCAGTAACAAGAGTACCGCGTTCTGCAGATGATAGGCCGCCGACCTGTTTTTTTTCCTTTAAGCGATAATATTTTGGATTGTTTATTAGGAACTGTACTAATTCCCGTCTCGTCGCAGTTAAAAATTCGGCTAGGAGAAAATGTATATCTATCCAATACATCCTTTAATAAATCAAAGAATTTTCTGACATTTTCTTTATTAAAAGCAGACGTTCGGGCTGCAGATGTTGGCTCTAGGGCTCTTAAAGATAAATTTGGATGTCTTTTCAAAAAATTGGAGACGCATTTTCTTCCTGCCAATTTTTTGTTACGAGAGATGTTATGGGGAATACTGTTTCTCTCCTTGGTAAATGATAAATGGTAAATTGGTATGCTAGATCTCTAAAATTATGAATAGTTAATCCAAATAAATGGCTTTCCATATCGAGAATGTGCTGTTCCAATTCTCGTTCTTGAACCGGTGAAAAAACGGTTTTAAATCGACCGAGCCGTTTTTTCAATGCCAAATCAGACTCATTTTCCGACTTAAGTCTTCGGAATAATATCGTTGCCGGAACATTAAACTGAACAGCTGCTCTTCTATATTTTAATACACCTTGTCGCACAGCATCAATTGCATTTTTCATTGATTCCTGTGACCAAGATTGTTGGTTACTTTTGCGAACGTATGTTCTAACGATTTTACCTGAAAAAAAATACAACAAAATATTCCTGTGTGTAATGACTGAATCAATTTTTTTTATATGAGCACGATAAATTTTTAAGCAAACAGGTCAGAATATCTAGATTAAAATGCTTATTGAAAAAATAAATACGTTTTAAATAAATAAAAAAGCCTAATAAAAACAATGGGGCAAAGCGAATCGCCGGTTCACTTTGCCCCATACAAAATAGTTCACTTTGCCCCAATTCAAAATTTTTTTGACAAGTGAGGTTAAAATAAAATTGTCAAGACATTTCGTTTTAGTTTTCCCTAAAAACTACTTTATATTAGTTGCTAAACAATAGGTATTAACAATGTTCTAAATAGTTAACAAATAATGGACTTATACATTACTTTGCTTACTTGCTATATTACAATTTCACCATAAAAAACAGAAAACCTTTGTAAAATTTCATCGGTCTCTTATTGTGAATTCTGTCACGTAGCACATTGCTGACAACATAAATATACAGCAATGAAATGGGAAACGTTTAAATTGGCGCGAATAATTTGAAATTTAACAAGAAAGTTAATGAGACAGAAGAGCTGAAAAACGTTAAAAAATTACTGAAGGTGGCAATACATAAAAATAAGAATGAAAAATGGGAAGAAATGAGGAATGACATCGAAAGGGTGATGAAAAGGGTACAAACTAGTGATGAAGAAACTTGGCCAATACTCGCCCTCGGCGGAGTTTGACGCCAAGGCCATGGGTTCTATTGTACACGTCCTGTACAAAATTTTACTGTACCTGATTCTGACGAAGAGGTGCCCTTCTTCACAGAGGAAGAACTAATAAAGGCAGTCGGATCTATGAAAAACAGAAAAGCCCCGGCACCGGACGGAATTCCGACAAATTTCGAAAAGCTGCAGTTCTCGTGGTAGCCGGAGTGATTCCTGTTGACCTTCTGACACGGGAAAGAACACTAATCACAACACGAAAGAAACGCTTGCACCAATTGAGGCCCGCAAACGTTCCAGGGCCCACACTATGGAGGAATGGCAGGAGATGTGGAACGAAAAAACCCGAGGTAGATGGACGGCCAAGTTGATTCCGAGTGTCCATCGTTGGTGCGAACGAAAACACGGGGAAATAAGTCACTGCCTTATGTAGTTCCTCACGGGGCATGGGTATTTGATAAACCTATTCAATATCGGGAAAGTGAATAGCCCAGCGTACACATATGGAGACGCTCCATTAGACGACGCTGAACACACTTTTCTTGTATGTAAGATATGAGAGCACGAAAGAGATGAGTTACTTACAGAAGTCG